TTGTTATAATGACTTTTGATATATATATGAATATTTAAATTCTCATATCTTTGGAAGAAACGATCATAAAACCTTAAATTTTGGGCCAAAAGTTACTTTATACTCCCAACTAACTTTTCCAAAAAAATTCATTAAGATATCTTCCTCCAATCCTCTCAAAAAACTTTTTTAAAAAAACTCAAAAATTAGATCAAAATTTTTTTATGATAATTTTTGATACATGTGAATATTTAAATTGCCATATCTTTGAAACAAACCATCATAAAATCTTAAATTTTGGGCCAAAAGTTACTCCACACTCCAGATTAGCTTTTCCAAAAAAATTCATCAAGCTACCTCTATCCAATCCTCCAAAAAAACTTTTTTAAAAAAAACTCAAAAATTTTACCAAAATTTTCTTATAATGACTTTTGATACATATGAATATTTAAACGGTCATATTTTCGCAACAAACGATCATAAAACCTTCAATTTTGGGCCAAAAGTTCCTCCACACTCCCGTCTAATTTTTCCAAAAAAATTCATCAGAATACCTTCACCGAATCCTCCCAAAAAACTTTTTCAAAAAAACTCCAAAATTTTGTTATAATGACTTTTGATACATATAAATATTTAAATTGCCATATCTTTGAAACAAACCATCATAAAACCTTGAATTTCGCGCCAAAAGTTCCTCTACACTCCCAACTAACTTTTCCAAAAAAATTCATTAGGATACCTCCATCCACACCTCCCAAAAAACTTTTTTCAAAAAAATCCAAATTTTTTCCTTTTAACTTCCACTTAAAAATATTTTCACCCAAAACTTCAAAGTACCAAAACAGACCACTCCAAATTCTCAAAAATTGCGTGTGTCCATCAGAGTATGACTCTCCAAAAAATTCATCCTCGTCATTATTACACGATGTAAATAAATGGTGCGACACATAACACATTCCAAGTACAAAATCATCGGGACGAAGTATTTATAATGATTTATACTAAAGTATAATGCATGTAGGTACAAAAGATTAAATAAAGGGGGTCTCTGAGTACCAAAATATTTTGTACGGGCGGTGCAGTGGCCGATACGGCTAACCTCATTTTTCATCTTCTTTGTTCGTCTCTGTCTCAATCCACAGGAGCTTCTCTCTCTCTCTCTCTTACTCATTCGACATGACACGTGAGATTAGTGACTCCATCTTCAAAGCGTTAGTATTTTTTATCCTAGCAATGCCAAATAAAATACCAGGGTGGAATTGAAGAAAGACCAGCTGGAGTTGAATGAGCCATCTCGGCTTTCACCACGGGGGCACGTATCCTCTATTTATTCGGTGAGAGGGTGACATTCGCGCTCGAACAACCGTGACATAACATTATATTTATGTTGTCACCGAAAGCGTCAACTAGAGACTGCCACTGTGCGATGAGTGAGATGTTACATTTTAAGGAATCGCTCTATTATATCAAATCAATGCCTTTTCTTATATAGTTATTATTATATAGATACGATTCAATGTGTTTATTGTAACACTGAGTGAGAAAATAAAACCCCACTGTCGGGGGCACGTTTACTTTTGGGTAAACATTCAAGAGCGCCCCCTACCTCGTATTCTTGCTTCTTATTATGGTCGTAGAAGTTCAAGTCATCGGGATAACGAATTTTTACAGTCAAATATCTTATTTTGGCTATAAAAGAAAAATTGCGGGTGGTTTAGGAATTTTGCTTTGTTAATTTGGACTTTTTCAATAAATTTTGTCGTTAGAATTTTTAAAGATAAACAATTAAATTTTTTTTACTAGCCTGGTTAATTTTAAGAAATAGCAACGTTAACTTTTTATCTCCAAAATAATTAACGATCAACTAAAATCACATTAATTATTTGAAATTAAAAATAACTTAATTAATTTGATAAGCAACGATAAAAAACAAAATTTTTAATTTTTTTTTATTTACTAAAAAAAAAAAAATTCTTCAATTTTTTATTTAAAGATCAAAGTAACAATAAAATAATAAAAAAAGCTAACGGCCCTAAATTTATACCCATACAAAAAAAAACGTCATTTTAGTATTTTTCATGTTACCACATCTCGTCAACTATCGCATTATTCTTCTCCTGCCTGCGTATATGTATACATCCATAAATATATTCAGTATTCCTCCGAGAACCCCATTACAAAAACTAGTGTGCCGTTGTCTGCGATTTGAATCGCTGCTAAAGGCAACAATGAGTGCGTGACATCGTTTACTTGGGAACCCCGCAGCTCGCCACGGTGCCAATTCACCCGAAACTCGTGCATGGTATATAGAAGGGCCCGAAAATTCCCCAGAACACCCGTGACGTCTTCATTAATGATTGAAAAATTCACCTCTCAAACTCAAAATGCTGCTACAGTTTCGCCATTTATTATCCAACATAAATTACCTTGTTAATTCCTGCGGTGACAGTGGAGCCTCTGTGGTGTTAAATCGATTACCAAACTTGTGCCTTCAAATCCTTTCTGGGAATAACACACTAAAACTTTTCATTTACGAGCGAGTTATGGATTTTGATGGCTTTTTTTCGGAAATTTTCAACACAAACAAGTTGTTTGTTGATCAGTCGAGTCAAAACTATCCATACCTTTCCAATTTTTAGGTCTAAATACAGAAAATTCTTCATAAACTCATTAAACAGATCACAACCAAAAATGACATTTTTGGTTGAATTTCAACTCAAGCTTACTTTTTGATGATTTGACCTTTAAAATTGATCCAAATCCACTAAAAACTCTTGCCAACCCTTTCTTGCAGCTAACCCTTCAAATTCTGATGGAATAATTACTCCAGCACCACAAAAAAAGACGAAATCTGCAGAACTGATGATAACCAAAAATGGCATTTTTGGTTGCATTTCAATTCAAGCTTACCTTTTGATGATTTGACCTTTAAAATTGATCCAAATCCACTAAAAACTCTTGTCAATCCTTCCTTGCAGCTAACCCTTCAAATTCTAATGGTATAATTACTCCAGCACCACAAAAAAAACAAAGTCTGCAGAATTTTGCAAAACTGAAGATAACCAAAAATGACATTTTTGGATGCAGTTCTACCCAAGCTTACTTTTTGATGATTTGACCGTCAAAAATGCCCCAAATCCACAAAAAACTTTTGCAAACCCTTCCTTGCAGCCAACCCTTCAAGTTCTAATGGAACAATTACTGCAGCACCACAAAAAAAACGAAGAATAGCATTTTTTTGGCCGCCAATTCGGAAACCAGTATAAGAATTTAACAAAACGAGGTTGGAAGAAATTTATTGAATAATTACCACAAGAGAAAGGGTTAAACAAGCTCCTGGCTCGAATTCGGCAGTAGGGTCAGGTCAGTGAGCTGGTTAAACTGGGTAAGGATGTGGCCACGGGTATAGTACCGAGTTTATAAACGAGCTGGAACCTTTATGGACCGTAAAGATACGCGTCCAGTTTATGTCCATTCGCAAGCTACACCATACACCATTCCAAATCGTATAGTGTAACACTATAACTACCTACACATTTAATGAACATGGGTAAATTCGCCTACGAGGATTTAGAGGCATTATTTTTTATGGCAGGGGCAGCTACCCTTGAACTCCGTCAATAAGACCTCCTGGTCGTCTTGCCCGAGGGTTATCCTGAGATTAAGATTCTGACATCAAAATGCGGTCGTTTGGGTGAAAATTGATGGAACTTGGAGCATAATTATCTGATTTGAACTATTTAAAATTTTGATTAAATAGTTTTAAATAATTGAATAAAATTTATGAATCAAATTAGCCGACATCTCGAGCTTAGAGAATAATTTCTTAAATTTTCCAAGTCCTGGACGTTTAAATAAAAATGTCTTGGCTTAATTTAAAAATAAATTCTCTAATCAAAAGTTATTTTTTTTATCTTTAATTTTCTTAGCGGGAAGTTAAAAAAAAAATATTTTGTCGACCTATGTTAATATAAGAATCTCAATAATCCGATATCTTGCAGTCATTCATAATTTATTGACTAATTATCATGACGATTTGACAAATTATTGTCTATCAACTAATCAGAGATTAATATCGTTTGTTCTTTAGAATCCGTTTTTGCGATTACTTACTGTAGACATGATATAATTTATTCATATATACTCTATAACGTTCTGAGAAATATGTTATTCTTTTTTTGTTAATTTTTAGATTAAAAATTTAATTTAACCATTCTGCAAGACATACAAACATAATCTGATAAATAATGTCGATCATAACTAATTTTTTAATTCTATAAAATTGTACGATGTTGAATAATTGATATTTTACAAAAAAAGTCTAAGCTTTTCTAGATCTGAACGAAAATGGTAAACAAAACCTCAAGGAACCCTGAATACACCGATTTTAACATCTGACGTCACTCAAGCTTCTAGGCAACATTAAGTGAATACTCTACTAAGTGAATAATTGTTGGGACGAAATCTAATCCTTTAAGTCTATTGTTAAAAGCGTAGGATGTTTTAATAGAATTTCGAAAAATTTTTATTAACAAAATTATTACTTATTTGAGATTTCGATAAGCGCAATAATGACAATTTTGATAGACATCTTATCAGAGCTGCTGAGAATCAAGTGTACTCTTTGACTCAGTGGTTAGGCTCACTTGGAATTTAAATCAGGTTATGTCAGATGACCTGGTAATGTGAGTTAATTTTGACTGGTATTATCAAGTGAGAGTTTTCAGTAGGTATTGATAAAATTATTGTTAACATTGTCGTTATGACGTCATAAGAAATCATACCGGATGTTACCAGTATCAAGCTGAAAATCACGCGCTCCTCTCGTGGACTTGAATGATTATCTCTAAATACCTACTGAAAGCTCTCATTTGTTAAATTCCAAGAAATCATGAAACAAATAAACCTATAAAAAATATTATTGTTGTTGAGGGTTTTTCCGGTGGTGACGTAGGTGTGAGTGTACGCACGCTGATCGTATAAAAGCGGAAAGACTGTGGCTACGAGCACAGTTGAAGTTTAGCAGCTCTAACAAGATGGTCGACAAAGTAATCTACATTGCGCTCTTTGCGCTTATCGGAACCTCATGTGAGTAATAATTCTGTCTATAAAAAGTTTTTAATATATATCTTGTATTTAATACTTCTCTCTCAGTGAATTTCTTTAAAAACTTCATTTTGTATCAGTAATTAAAGAAAATTTCTTTATTTTCAATATTGGTAAATAAACATGATAAAATCATGTTGCAGCCACATGATTTGCCGTGTTTCTGCTACATGACAATCATGTTGCAGTAGCCTGAGAAAAATCATGTGGCAGCAACATGATTTGTCATGTAGCCTTAATAGCATACAATTAAGCTGCAACAAGTAAATATTTATGGTTCAGAAAAAATATTTATTGCAAATATTTATTTTTATCTGCAATATTATAAATCCTAAAAAACCTAGTTAATTTATAATAAATAATGTTTCTAAAGCATAAATATTTAGTTTTTGCAGCTTAATTTTGTGCGATTAAGGCTACATGACAAATCATGTTGCTGCCACACGATTTTTCTCATGCTACTGCAACATGATTTTCATGATACTGCAACATGATTGCCATGTATCCGAAACACGACAAATCATGCTACTACAACATGATTATCATGTAGTCGAAACATGGCAAATCATGTTGCTGTCACATGATTTCCCTCATGTTACGGCAACATGATTGACATGTAGCCGAAACACGGCAAGTCATGTAGCTGCAACATGATTTCATCATGATGATTTACCAAGACTGCGTCATGTTGCATTTACTATTTATTTTTTTCAGTGGCAAAAACTAATTTTTAAATTTTCTCCATTCTTTACAGTTATCCAAGCGTCACCAGTGAAAACATCGTTGCAGGAACGAGTCATTATTGATCGTCTGGATTGCTCTTCCTTGACTGCAGATTCAGTTATAATTAAAAATAGTGAATTTTTAGCAGTAGATAACCCATGTAACATAAGGGCGAAAAATATTCTTCTGTCGAACAACAAATTTCCGAATTCTCCGCAAGCTTTCAATATAAATGGCACTAACGTGATTCTGGAGGATAACGTATTCTCCGGAAAGAGACAAGATAATTACATAGTTAGTCAAAATTTAATGTTACAGAATAATAAATTTGAAGGTGAACTTCAAATTTTTGAAGTGACGGGAATCAAAGTTTACTTACAAAATAACACACATCGTAGTAATTTCCTAGTGTATCAAGTAACAGGCGTACAAACACTCATCGAGTCCAACAACATTAATTCGAACTATCTGGCCTTGCCAAACTTTTATGGTGTCAGTGAAATGAACAAGGAACACTTGTTTAGGATATTCAATATTAATAAAATAATTAAAAACTATGTATTGTTCACACAGATGGAAAATAATTCACGTTATTTAATAGAACCGTCAAATTATCCGTTAAGTTTTGAAAACTATGCGGAATTTGAACATGAAGTGTTGACAAATTCAAAAATTAATCGCGTAGGTTCACCCGTTTTATCAACATTTATGGAACTAATTCTTAAATCTAAAAGTAGTTACGTGAACAGTTCGTAATAACTTTGACTACATCAGTCATCGAAGTGTTCAACTTTCCGATATAAAAATTTACGATTTTCAAAAATTGGTATACATAAATATAATAGTCAAATGCTCAAATTAAATATTGTTAATCTCATTAAGTCATGAATGTATTTCATAAAATGATAAAACAAACATATTGTTACTGAATAATATTTGTTTTTCTTTTATTCGAACCCTGAATCTCTTAATTATCATTAAAGCGAATCACTCCTGATCCGTGGCTTAGGAATAGAGTACAAAATGATGTCATATTATTATGTTACGTCAGTGAAACTTCTATCACATCAGCGTGTTCTTGTCGGACGAGCTTGCAAAACTTCAGGTAACTTGTTATTTCTAGTAACCCTGAGACACTGAGAGTTTTGAAGCACGATTTTATTATCTCAGAACATATTAGGATTGACTTATAATTAGGTTAAAGTTGTCGTTACGGCTCTTTAATTTTGATTAAAGTTACACTTATTCTCCTTCTCGTACATAATAGCTATTTAATCTTAAAGAAAACACCCCAACTCATCGCTATAACTTATTTAGTGCTAGATTATTGAGATCGTAATCCAAACAGTAGACGGAAAAAAATAAATAGTAAATGCAACATGATGCAGTCTTGGTAAATAAACATGATGAAATCATGTTGCAGCCACATGATTTGTCATGTTTCCGCTACATGACAACCGTGTTACGGTAGCATGGAAAAATCCTGTAGGGCCTGGAATTTCGCCCTATCGTAAGACGATGTAATATCTTGAAATTTTCCTTTCATTCTATACACGGAAAAAAATATATAGTAAATACAACATGATGAAATCATGTTGCAGCGACATGATTTGTCATGTTGCAGCGACATGACAATCATGTTGCGGTAGCATGATTTGTCATGTTTAGGCTACATGGCAATCATGTTGCTGTAGCATGAGAAAAATCATGTGGCCGCAACATGATTTGTCATGTAGCCTTAATAGCACAAAATTAAGCTGCAACTACTAAATTATTATGCTTCAGAAACATTATTTATTATAAAGTAACTAGGTTTTTTAGGATTTATAATATTGCAGATGAAAATAAGAGTAAATTATTGAATTATATAATTTGTGAACGATATGTTTGTTTATGTTAGAAATAACTACTCAGGTATTGTTTAATTATTGTTTATTGATACAAAGTAAAATAAGTATATTAATTAATATTAAATTAGCTTCACACTGAATTTAACTAAACACCAATATTAAATGAGTTTAAAATTGACAGAAATACAATGTTAAATTATTTGCAATAAAATGATTCTAAATCTGGACTATTGACACTTGATGGTGAAGGAGTTCAGCTCGACTAACTATAACAGAAAAATTATTAGTTACATCTAGTACCCTCAGTACTCAGTATACTCCCACTACTTCATTAAGGGTCAAGGGGTAGTGGAAACATTACCAGGTATACTGAATACAGGACTTTACAGTGAACTGTACTATACAAACATGTATACATAATTCAGGTATACTAAATACAGTGACGTTGTCCTGTATAACTTTTCTCTAAAAATAAATCTAAATATTAATTCCAACAGTTTATTCAAATTATATACAATATTTATTGCCATTAGTTTTGGTAGAGGAATTATTTATTTAAGTACATCTGGAGTCAAAGAAGAAGAAATTTTTTAATGAATAGCATTTGCTGTACGAATTTGGAACGATTATTAATTAGAAAAATAAAAGTTACGTTCTGTATGTGAATAAAGTCATTGTTATAATTGTAAAAACTTAAAGCATTGTTTATTATAAAAACAAAGGTTAGGTTTTATAAGTGAATAAACTTACCTTCGAAATTATTTACTAAATTTTTTCTACCACATGATTCTTTCATGCTACCGTTACACGGTTGTCATGTAGCGGAAACATGACAAATCATGTGGCTGCAACATGATTTCATCATGTTTATTTACCAAGACTGCATCATGTTGCATTTTTTTCCGTCTACTGTTTGGATTACGATCTCAATAATCTAGCACTAAATAAGTTATAGCGATGAGTTGGGGTGTTTTCTTTAAGATTAAATAGCTATTATGTACGAGAAGGAGAATAAGTGTAACTTTAATCAAAATTAAAGAGCCGTAACGACAACTTTAACCTAATTATAAGTCAATCCTAATATGTTCTGAGATAATAAAATCGTGCTTCAAAACTCTCAGTGTCTCAGGGTTACTAGAAATAACAAGTTACCTGAAGTTTTGCAAGCTCGTCCGACAAGAACACGCTGATGTGATAGAAGTTTCACTGACGTAACATAATAATATGACATCATTTTGTACTCTATTCCTAAGCCACGGATCAGGAGTGATTCGCTTTAATGATAATTAAGAGATTCAGGGTTCGAATAAAAGAAAAACAAATATTATTCAGTAACAATATGTTTGTTTTATCATTTTATGAAATACATTCATGACTTAATGAGATTAACAATATTTAATTTGAGCATTTGACTATTATATTTATGTATACCAATTTTTGAAAATCGTAAATTTTTATATCGGAAAGTTGAACACTTCGATGACTGATGTAGTCAAAGTTATTACGAACTGTTCACGTAACTACTTTTAGATTTAAGAATTAGTTCCATAAATGTTGATAAAACGGGTGAACCTACGCGATTAATTTTTGAATTTGTCAACACTTCATGTTCAAATTCCGCATAGTTTTCAAAACTTAACGGATAATTTGACGGTTCTATTAAATAACGTGAATTCTTTTCCATCTGTGTGAACAATACATAGTTTTTAATTATTTTATTAATATTGAATATCCTAAACAAGTGTTCCTTGTTCATTTCACTGACACCATAAAAGTTTGGCAAGGCCAGATAGTTCGAATTAATGTTGTTGGACTCGATGAGTGTTTGTACGCCTGTTACTTGATACACTAGGAAATTACTACGATGTGTGTTATTTTGTAAGTAAACTTTGATTCCCGTCACTTCAAAAATTTGAAGTTCACCTTCAAATTTATTATTCTGTAACATTAAATTTTGACTAACTATGTAATTATCTTGTCTCTTTCCGGAGAATACGTTATCCTCCAGAATCACGTTAGTGCCATTTATATTGAAAGCTTGCGGAGAATTCGGAAATTTGTTGTTCGACAGAAGAATATTTTTCGCCCTTATGTTACATGGGTTATCTACTGCTAAAAATTCACTATTTTTAATTATAACTGAATCTGCAGTCAAGGAAGAGCAATCCAGACGATCAATAATGACTCGTTCCTGCAACGATGTTTTCACTGGTGACGCTTGGATAACTGTAAAGAATGGAGAAAATTTAAAAATTAGTTTTTGCCACTGAAAAAAATAAATAGTAAATGCAACATGACGCAGTCTTGGTAAATCATCATGATGAAATCATGTTGCAGCTACATGACTTGCCGTGTTTCGGCTACATGTCAATCATGTTGCCGTAACATGAGGGAAATCATGTGACAGCAACATGATTTGCCATGTTTCGACTACATGATAATCATGTTGTAGTAGCATGATTTGTCGTGTTTCGGATACATGGCAATCATGTTGCAGTATCATGAAAATCATGTTGCAGTAGCATGAGAAAAATCGTGTGGCAGCAACATGATTTGTCATGTAGCCTTAATCGCACAAAATTAAGCTGCAAAAACTAAATAT